AGAATTAGAGCGGTAGCGAAAACAGCTGATCCCATTTGGTCGCCTTTATAATTTGGGTGACCATATTTAGAAAAAACTAAACCATATTTAGAAATGAGGAAATGATAACAAATATAAATGTAAAAGAAAGAAAGATTATTATAAATAATTTGTTTCACGCCAGATTTAACGAATCCACAACTATATTTTTCAAACAACAAAAAAAAAATCGTGTTTAGGTTGTTTTCTTTTAAAACTTTGAAAACAAAAAACAAATACGGCTACCTTTGGCACGCACAGCTGTCATCGCCCAGCAGGGCGATAGAAATAAATCTATCGCCATGAAACGCCGCCAAGCGAACTTCGCATTTCGCTTTGGCTGTGTTCAATTTCATATGCTTGCGGGTGTTCTAATTTTGACAGCGCGAATTTCGCTGTGGTGAGTTCGCCGTTCGCCGGCATTGTATTTCAGCTATAACGCCCACTTATAACTATATAAGTCTATCTCATTAAGTCCAACTGAGTATACTATCGAAATTGTTAGAAATAGGGGTAAAACCACTATGCCTACCATATAACGGTAGTTTTCAGAAAGGTAAAAAACTATATCTAATAAGTGCGCCGGGTATTTAATGTTCGGCTTCGCCCGAACTTAGACTTTTTTACTTGTTCTTTTTATTTTTACCACTCCGAATTGAGAGTTGGAACTCAGCCGCGGCATAAAATTGAACTATCTGCCAAACATTTTCGTATTACTCCGGAAATGCTTTTTTTTCGATTTGAACACTTAACGTTCACTTTGTTATACATATAAACTATATTTTAACATTTATGTTAAGAAATACCTTCAAAAGAAACTCATTTCAAAGTCCATTAAATGAGCTGCAAAGTGTAAGGAGCAAATGAGCAGCTTTTCGTTTTCGTAGCCTCTAGGGTTTTCAAGTTTTACAATCACTTCAACTTAGTTAATACATATGAACATAGTTACGTAAGTATGTATAGACATACTTATGTACATTCATATAAAAAAGCACATGAAAATTGCAAATACAAATAGCTTTCGATTGTCGAATCTAAATACATACATATTTATGTACATATAAATATGTATGACTGCATGAACATACAAATTTACATGTAGAAGCACATACGTAAATATGCACATATAACAAATGAGTAGTTGCTCGTAAATTTGAGCTTTAATCTCTTTGAAAGTCATAAATTTGTCACAACAAGCCGATTCGTACGTACAACCCATATGAATTTCCAGCAAAATCAATAAGAATTTTCAATGAAGCCGCTGCTCAATGCGGATATGAGGGTAAGAGAGGGAGCAATGCAACTGTAAAGCATAAATTTCATGGAATTAAAATGAAATCTTTGGCCACCAGATTCGAGTATAATATTTTTTCATTTTTTCATTCTTTACATATTTTAGAAATATGCAGGCTTTTAAAATGACTATAATAAAATTTGCAATTCTAAATCTTGGAACTAAAAAAATCTGCTCAAATCAAATTTAACGCCTGCTTTACATAAATACTTGTGGAAGTAAATATAAATCCCATTTCTACATTGCTCTACATTTAAGCCGCAAGAATTACCAGCTTTAGCGCAACGCCATCGCCAACAGCGGCTTTCTCATCGCCAACAGCGGCAATCTACACCAAATTAAGGTATCCTTCGGGATAAATAATGATTATTAAAATAATACCGGCGCAGCATGTGTAAAAAAACAGTAATAAAAACACCAGGATGTCTAGTCATTTACACTGGCTGAAATTACTGCTTATGCTTATGCGCGCATAGTGGCGATATGAAAAGGAAATTGTAACAGCTGCTGGCGTGCATTAAAATATATTTATGCCTTTGGATGGATATTTCGTCGGTACAGCCGCAGTTTGCGCCTTGGCACAGTCCAAGCCATCAAGGCTGTGTGAAATGGATGCGTCTGAACTGCGTGGTGGGTGGTAGTACACGAAACACTGTTGGATGTCTCACTCTCACAAAGACTTCTTAGCCACCAGCGGTTGCAATTTTATGTGGCTGCCTGCAGATTGAAAGGCCATCGGGGATGTCGGTGCGTATGAGCAACATCAATTCGCT